TGTCTGATGATGTGGCAGTCACGTATATTAAGATGGTGGCTTGTGAAATATTACACATTTCAACATTGACGGTAACTGGTGTTTAACGTCGCTTAAACCATTATTTAACCATTTAATTTAATCATATCTTGTTAATTTATCATGGGAAGACAGTCCGAAGCAGGGGCTAGTAATTCGGGGCACGTGTTATCGAAAACAACAACAACGTATTGCGTGTAAGTCCTGATAGATTATCCAATGTGAAATGATAGTATCCAGGGGTTAAAAAGCAACAAACTGCACGTAAGTACGGATATCTATCCATTGTGAAATAATAATATCTGAGAGTGAAAAAACAACGAACTGCACGTAAGTACGGATACCTATCCATTGTGAAATAATAGTATCTAGGAGTGAAAAAACAACGAACTGCAAGTAAGTACGGATATCTATCCATTTTGAAATATAGTATCTCAGAGTGAAAAAAACCCCAACGAACTGCACGTAAGTACGGATGTCTATCCATTTTGAAATAATAGTATCTTGGAGTGAAAAAAAACAACGAACTGCAAGTAAGTACGGATATCTATCCATTGTGAAAATAGTATCTCAGAGTGAAAAGTGAAAAAAAACCCAACGAACTGCACGTATGTACGGATGTCTATCCATTGTGAAATAATAGTATCTTGGAGTGAAAAAACAACGAACTGCAAGTAAGCTCGGATGTCTATCCATTGTGAAATAATAGTATCTAGGAGTGAAAAAAACAACGAACTGCAAGTAACCTCGGATGTCTATCCATTGTGAAATAATAATATCTGAGAGTGAAAAAACCCCAACGAACTGCACGTAAGTACGGATGTCTATCCATTGTGAAATAATAATATCTCAGAGTGAAAAAAACTCCAACGAACTGCACGTAAGTACAGATAATCTGTCAATTGTGACATAACAACACCAAGTTGCCCACCAACACCAGGAGTCTCAACAATCTTCGTGATCATGATTTACCTGTCTCACTCTATTTTGGCGGATTTTGACAATCCGTGTATCTTCATGCCTAAAATCTTGTAGCTCTTTCTCATAGCTCAATACCGAACGTTTTTTACCTCTCATTAATATTTCCTCACAGATTATACCGTCTTTACCCCATTCAACGCAAATTTAAAAACTTTATGCGCAAGGTAAAGCACAGGTTATTAAGTTAAGTCAGTTACTCTTAACCTTTTCCTAAACCGGTTTCGGTTCGTGAATAAAAAAACATCAAACAATTACACAAAAACGCGTGTAATATATAAAATGCACCACTCGTTCACGTAATATACTAATTTTACGACACACGGGAACTTCCTGTGGTATCAGACCGCTTGGAAGCGATGTTTGTCAACTCCGCCTCCTGGCCATACTATTCAAACATGACTAAACGTGGCTAGCAGCAGCTACTTCACGTCTTGCCTTAGAGGTTCGGTGATTGTTGCAGAAAAACTAATAATGTTGACGCCATATATGAAGGACATCACCCTTTCAGCCGACAGCTCTTCAGATCACTGAGGTATTGTTTTGTCGACATAAGGTCTCGCTGTCGTAAACTTCCTATGGTATCTAAGCGAGCCAAAGCGAGGTCAGATACTATAATAAATTCACGAGTTTCGTAAAATTGTGAAGTATTCTCTAGACTATAAAGAAAAATAGTGAAGTATTCTACAGACTATAAGGAAAAATAGTGAAGTATTCTGAGGACTATAAAGAGAAAAAATATGAAGTATTCTGAAGACTATAAAGAAAATTAGTGAAGTATATTCAGTTGTTATAAAGAGAAATAGTGAAGTATTCTGTAGACTATATAGAGAAATAGTGAAGTATTCTGTGGACTATATAGAGAAATAGTGAAGTATTCTGTGGACTATAAAGAAAAATAGTGAAGTATTCTGTAGACTATAAAGAATATTAGTGAGTATTCTACGGACTATAAAGAGAAATAGTGAAGTATTCTACATACTATAAACATAAATAGTGAAGATTTCTTGAGACTAAAAAGAAAATTAGTGAAGTATTCTGTAGACTATAAAGAAAGATAGTGAAGTATTCTGTTGGTTATAAAGAGAAATAGTGAAATATTCTGTAGACTATAAAGAGAAATAGTAAAGTATTCGGTAAACTATAAAGAATATTAGAGAGTATTCTACGGACTATAAAGAGGAATAGTGAAGTATTCTGTGGACTATAAAGAACAATAGTGAAGTATTCTACAGACTAAAAAGAATATTAGTAAGTATTCTACGGACTATAAAGAGAAATAGTGAAGTATTCTACAGACTAAAATGAGACATAGTGAAGTATTCGGTAGACTATAAGAGAAATACTGAAGTATTCTTGAGACTATAAAGAAAAATAGGGAAGTATTCTGTTGACTATAAAGATAAATAGGGAAGTATTCTGTTGGCTATAAAAATAAATAGTGAAATATTCTGTAGACTATAAAGAGAAATAGTGAAGTATTAAGTAGACTATAAAGAGAAATAGTGAAGTGTTCTATAGTGTATACAAAGAAATAATGAAGTATTTTATAGTCTATACAGAGAAATTGTGAAGTGTTCAATAGTCTATACTAGGAAATAGTGAAGTATTCTATAGTCTATACAGAGAAATAGTGAAACATTCTATTGACTATATAGAGAAATATTCTTGAGATTATGAAGAGAAATAGTGAAGTATTCTGTAGATTATAAAGAGAAATAGTGAAGTGTTCTATAGTCTATACAGAGAAATAGTGAAGTATTCTACAGACTATAAAGAGAAATAGTGAAGTATTCTGTAGACATGGAGAAAATATCGCAACACATACAGCTATTTATATTCATAACATAAATATGTTTGTATGGCTGTTTTCACACTTCGGGCGCACCATCATTGATTTTCCATATGCACGTGCTACAATCAATGGCGAGCACCGCGTGCAATACGTGTTCCCGTTAATAAGCAAATATAAAGTTTCAGTAAACTGTTCTTACAGCTCGATAACTTGGAAAATCAATGTATTTCGTTGTTGATAAGCAAATACGGGCCATCCTCAACTGCTCAAGGATTGCAAGGTATTGTAATATAGAATGTCATTGAGGGCTGTTGCAAGTGATATTGGTTGTCATCCATTGGTCAGACAAATCAGCAGACTAAAGACTATAAAGAATATCAGCATTCAGGTCTACAGGGAATTGCATCGGACATCATTCTTGTTACTGATGCATCAAATTTCGAAATGTCCTCCACATGTCTACCATAAAGCTTCACCGAGGACTTGAATGTTGTAACCTTGATCACACAACTTCTGGGCAAGAGTAGCATGACACTCTTTGAAATCCTCATAATAGGAGCATGCTCGATTGTACCTCAAAAGTTGTGAAAGGAACATCTAAGGTTGGAGCTATTGGAATATTGCTCGATATGAACGGGAAGTTGAGTATTGGAAAGTTCAAATCCTCCCTTTTGTCAAACAGCCTTGTGGAGAGTTTTTTGTCTCTCTGAATCTAGTTCAGGTGGGTACATCAGTGGCTATTTGATGGTTATTGAACAATATTAGATAATCAATATACCGAAAGCTTTAAAGTTCAACCCAAGCAGAAATTCTGATTCATATGCATAAAGAAACATCCGCAAGGAGGGGGAACACCGTTGGTGCCTATGGGGATGCCTGCTTCTTGGCGAAACAACCAGGTCACCCATGTCCCCGACCAATGTTAGTACACTCCAACTAGCAACAACAGGTTGGACCAACTGTCAACCTACAGCCCTTTACACACATAACGCTTGAAAGATAGACGTCGAATCAAATTGTTTCCATCAGCGAGTGAGTGAGTGAGTTTCGTTTTATGCTGCACTCAGCAATATTCCAGCTATAAGGCGGCAGTCTGTAGATAATCGAGTCTGGACCAGACAACCCAGTGATCAACAGCATGAGCATCGATCTGCGCAATTTTGAACCGATGACCTGTGTCAACCAAGTCAGAGAGCCTGACAACCCGCTCCCATTAGTCGCCTCTTACGACAAGCATGGGTCACTGAAGATCAATTCTAACCCGGATCTTGGTCGTTTCCATCAGAGAGGGTACTTCTGTGCTATGTTACACAAAGAAGAAACTACTGTAGCGATAGTTAAGGCCGAAGATCCGAGTTTGATTCCAGTGAGTGAAACCCATTTCTGGTGTCCCCCGCCGTGACATTGATGGAATATTGCTAAAAGTGGCATAAAACTAAACTCATTCACTCAGTAGAACATGTTCCTTTTTATCGTGATTAATAACTTCATGATGTATCTATTTATTGCAGTTAACAGCCTGGATTACTGTTACGTCAGCATCTCCAGCCATCATCCCCTGTGGTCAAGAAATGCAGGCTGATCATAACTCACCAGCTTGAAGCAGGGATAACCTTGGGAGACGTGACTGTCAGCTTGGCACTGCAATCCACATGTGATGTCCACCCCATGTGTGATGTCCACCCTGCGTGTGATGTCCAATCCATATAACATGTCCAACAGCATAATCTCACCTTGTGAATGGAACTCGCCAATATGACTTCAAATCATGATCTGGTCTGCTGGTTGATGATACCCTTCTAAGTTCCTAACATATCCTATGACCTGAATAGAGTTCATGAACACTACAATTTTTTAACATTAACAAAGAATGTGGATTTCAAGCATATTACTTCAGTTTCTTAATGATCTTAAAATAATATTTCACAACTAAAACCTCACCTCATTATTGCGGACAGTAAAGAGATCACAACACCTTAAGTGCATACAATACAGTTTAGTAAAAAAATATTTTAGTATATGCTTAGAAAAAGTACACTTTTTTCTTACATGTTTTTTTAATACTTTGTATGCCCTTGTTGGCGTTAAATATAACAATAATTTGTGGTTTAAAGGGCGACAAATATTGTTGGACTGTATACACATATCAATTATAGATAATTCCGACAAAACCCTTTCCACATCCACAATTACATCGTCCACGGTCACGATGGTAACACCACTGCGGTCAAGGGCTCTGAAAGTGTTTTTGCTGTTGGTCCTTACTCAAACAGTGGCAGTAGTACTGTTCACCTATCACACGTTTGTTGACTGGTCCTTCTTGAAGTCCAGGTTTAGAGAATTCCAATGGAACATGCCCCAAGATTTAGTAGAAACGTTCGGCAGGGTACCACAAAGACAAAGATACACTCTGACTCGCTATGCCACAGATCTCAACGCAGAGTTACTTCTAGAGAACAGGACCCTGTGTCCGTCTGACAGACAGCTGTCCATTTTGTTCATGGTCCACTCTGGCTTGACTAACTGGAAACGACGCGATACCATGAGAAGAATACTGGATCTCGGAAACAGTTCTCTGTTCACAAACTACTCGACACGTGTGCTCTTCTTGCTGGGGAGAACCACATATGCCCATGTGCAGGAAATGACGGTGATTCGAGACGAGTTTGCCAAGCATGGCGACATTTTACAGGGGAACTTTAAAGACAGCTACAGGAACTTAACTTACAAAGGAGCCATGGGAATCAAATGGGTGAGCCAGCATTGTGCCAATGTGAAATACGTCATCAAACTTGACGATGATGTATATGTAGATTTATACAACGTCTTTCATCGTATATACCACAACTATTCCAACCACTCGCGCTTGGTGTTGTGCAACGTGATGCCTGCGAACAGCGTGCCCCTAAATCGGCGAGGGCATTGGTCAGTGGAACAAAACATATTTCGTCATTACAAGTCCTTTCCGTGGTCATTTTGCAGTGGTTTTGCTGTGGTGTTGTCAGGAGCAATGCTGCCTTTATTACACAAGGCTGCTCAAATGGTGCCCTTTTTGTGGGTGGATGATGCATTTCTGTATGGGATACTCCGGAGTGGAATTGGCCACTATTCTGAAGCGTTCATAAAATTCAACTACTCTCAGCTTCACAAGATGAAGTTTGTGCAATGTTTTAACCAAACATCGTGCGACTATGTGTTTGGACTTGCCCCTCGTACGGTATCGGATACTTTACACTACATGCGGTATATGAACCTTAACAGAGGGTCAAACCTCAAACTGACACGGGATCTAATGTGGCACGTGGAACGATTAAATTTATTGACATGAATTTGATTAAAATATATTTATATGTGTCTATCAGTGGAATATTCTATTTGTCCTTGTGAACTGTCAGTTACCTCACAAAATCCCTGCCTTGGTGTGCAAGTCAACAGTTTTACTGTCTTATCAGTGCTATTACAATTTGGTTGTAAAGGTCTAAACACCAATGGTAAACCAACGCTGGACTGTGTCTCAACCTCGATCTGTGTCTTCGATGACACAATTCATAGTCACAACAAATGACATGTGAATGAATGAATGAATGAATGAATATAAATCAACAGCCATTACGATCATTTGAATTTGTCAAGATATGAAGAATACAAACTTCTTCGTAGCTATCCTATATGCCCATACACTGACAACTTTTGAGAAAATTAGAGCTTAATCTGTCTCCAAAGATGTCAAAGAGCGTCATGTAACCCTTGCACTGAATTTGCTTGATCAACGTTACATCATTCAAGACCTGAGCAAAACTTTATAAAGGTTATTGTCATGAGAAAATCAGTGGGCTCGAATGTTATGTACTTCAATGTCATGTGGATGCAATTGAAAAATGCACGACGCTGACAGACATTCTTACCAAAGAACTGCCAATGTCAATGCATTAATTCTGTTACCAACATCTCAAAGTCATTGTCACAAGAAGGGACGAAGGCCAAACGACACAATTCATTTGAAAGACTTGCCTCTGTTGCTGGACCCATTGGGACTGCACACAATTAAAACAAGACTTAACTGTGGGTCATTGGAAGAAATTTAACAACACCAGGAAATTTTGCTGATGGGCGGTCTACCGAAATTAAAGCCTCAGTATCTTTTTGAGGGTACTGTTCTTGATACAAATTCGAAACTTCTTGGCCAAACCAGAAACAAACAAAAAATTAGACAAAGACTGATGCCATAAATTTCAGGAAATGAGAACAATTTCCATTTTCCATACGAACACAATTTCATCCATGTCGTTCAATTTCAGGAGGTTGTCGCAGAACGTGGACTAGTCAGCTTACCATGTTAATCTCACTTCATGTCGCTTTCAAGACTCATTGTACTGCTACAAATCTGTCGGTCACATGATCACAGGTGCCTTCTCCATTATTGACAACCTTCATCGGCCATTGAAACATGGACCAAAATACCCTGAGCACAAAATTGGCATTATAAATTTATAATATTCATAGATGATAGATGAGAAGAGTAGAACCAAGAAGAAGAGGAACCTGTAGAATGTCTTTCAATGTTGGTTAAGTCGGAATAAACTTGGAATAAATCCCATATTGTCATAGCCAGTTGTCATGTAAAGTCTGGTTGCCTTGCTTGAAAAGTTTGTGATTGTTCCTAATGACAAGACCTCACATAACATAACCATGATATGTAAGCATCACAACATCAACTTTTGATTAAAGAGCTTGGTGACACATTAAATAATGCTAGTATGTTAACTGGGGAAGAAATCTGCCCAAACCATTCATCAGTACCATCAACTTTTGGCTTGACTCTAACACCTGAAGACATCGAAAGCATAGAAGAAAGGGGACCAAAATACATGTACTGTTGAACCCGTGAGGATCCAGGGTAGAATTGGTCTTCAGCAAACCATGCTTGTCGTAAGAGTCGTCTAACGGGATTGGGTGGTCAAACTCACTGACTTAGTTGACACATGGCATCGAATCCCAATTGCGTACATGCTCATGATGTTGATTGTTAGCTGGAATATTGCCGAGTGCTGTATTGAACAACATACAAACAAAACAACAATCTACAAGCGAAAGCTGCCAACTTTGTTTCACCTAACCTGGTTCGATGCTGGTATGGTGAACTCTTGCCTCGAAATTGATGGTTTCGGAACACTATTCAGAAATGACGTCAACGTAACTGGAGTGAGTGAGTTAATATTTAAAGTCACATTGGCAATATATCAATTTAAAAAACAATTTATACAATAAACCAGTCGACGATGGGCATTAACATACTAGAGTGTCACAGATATAAATATAAAACTAGCGTGTTAAACTAAAAGATGTTTATTACAGAAGACAATACAATATAAAACACAGGCTACAGATTGCCAATAACTGAAGGTAGATCACCCTACTAAGGACAATGGGGATTTACATTACTCTTGCTACCTGCATGGGCCACAGCTGGATTTACATCATCACTTCAGCTGTTGGCGAATTTTGTGCAATTTAGCCATAAATTATAACTACAAACATTGTACGATTAAAACTCTGGCAATGATCAACATACATTGAATGCCGTGGTCTTAAGTACCCTCACACACACACACACACACACACACACACACACACACACACACACACACACACACACACACACACACACACACACACACACACACACACACACACACACACACACACACACACACACACACACATGTACTCATTCCACCAAACTTAAAACAGTACATGATCTAAATTTATGAATCAAATCAGTCCCCTTTCAAAAAACAAGAATTAAATGAATACTTAAATAAAAAAAAGATCCTTTAAGGATGAAACTGTGAAATATCGATCCCTTGTGATGGCAAAAGTCAACTTAACAGGAACATCCTTCGGAGAAGAGGTGTTTATCTGTAAACCAGAGGTTGTGTGAGTAGTGTGTGTTATAGTGAGATACCCGTGAAGGTCCGGGTTAGAATATTGATCTTCAGTAATCCATGCTTGTCGTAAGAGGCGGGCCCTCTGACTTTGTTGACACGGTTCCCAATTACGCAGATCGATGCTTATGCTGTTGACCCCTGGATTGTCTGGTCCAGACTCGATTATTTACAGACCGCCGCCATATAGCTGGAATATTGCTTAGTGCGGCGTAAAACTAAACTCACTGATATAGTGAGGGAGACGTTGTGTTCTGATGATGTGAACTTACTGTCGGTTTCCTTACACTACTTTCATCAACCACGAGAATTCGGCATATATGTGCAGCCGACGTTAACAATATGTTAACTATATGTCATTCATAAACATGTGGATATGGCATGGCCTTGCTGTTAAATGCACCAAATCGTTTTTGCAATTACCAGAACACATGTGGTACCTACAGTCAGGATCTTACATGCAAGGCACAAGAGTATAGAACAATTGATATGTGTTACAGTCATGTCAAGGACGTTTTCAAACCATTCGAGCTCCACTCGGGATATCTGATCACAATTCAGTCTATTTAGCCCCTCCCACAAGCAAATTTAAGATCCCTTAAACTATTTTTAAGATCTGTGAAATAATGGATACCGCATTCTCTTGAGCAATAGAAAGGGTACGTTGATTTGTACTGCTAGGACGTGTGTGAGTTAAACTTTAACGTCACATCGGCATTATTTAGGCCATATTGTGACTGTGATAGTTGTACATTAATAAAATATAATGTTCGAGACGGAGCTTGACGAGCTGAGTGATGCCACTCATTATATAATAGATATTTACTCCTTTGACGAACCCCAAGATAGTTCTGACATCATGAGTATCATTATCAGAGCGCATCTGAACCGACGACCAGCGGATCCTGTAGCAGTTATGGGACGTAACTCTATACAACGGCTTGCAACGTTTAAGGCTACCTGGCCACTGCTTTCTATTATTACCAGGCCAAGCATACAAGTCACAGCTGAAACAACCCCCCTCAAAAAACCCCAACAACAACAACAACAACAACAACTAATTGTGAGTCAAGTTCATACTTTGTGTACTACTGAAACGCAATAAAAAAGAATGAACATGACAAGAAAATCAAACATAATAAATAACAAACTTTTTATTACCAGGTGAAGCTTACAAGTGAAAGCTGAAACAAACAACCAACTTTAACACAGTTAGTTTCATACCTTGTGCACTATTGAAACGCAGTAATATACAAATTGAACATGACAAGAACACCAAACAATATAATATAAAAACAAAACTATATATTACCAGCTCTCTCCAGTAGATGTTGCGCGGACACCAGATGGTCGTAAGAAGGACGAGGGATTACCAGACCGTCCTTTAGATAAGCATAAGTAAATTATAAATCCTTTCTTTGTGCAGAATATAAGTATCCTTTGATTCCCAGTTCCACGTCAGTCATCAAACTTTTCTCATTACAGCATTTAAATAAATAAATAAATCGTTACAGACAAAACAGTGACTTTAAACACTGTTGCGCCGTCGTAATATCGTGGTACATTCACCAATGTTACATAGAGAAAAGAAAAATGGGTTTTGAATGGGAAACAATGTTCTATTGTTAATCACTATACCTACCTCGGAGTAGTGTTTTCGCATACTATGAACATTAAAAGGGTGTGATAGATCTGAAATCACGTTCTGAGAAGGCTCTTATTAATGCTATGTCCGTTTCCCAGAATTTTTTGAATTTTAACCCCGAAAATATATTTTCGAATTTTTTTATTCACAAATCCAACCGATAATGCTTATGGGTCTGAATTTTGGGGATTTCAACGTCACGAATGTCTAGAGAAACTAGCTCTTTTAGCATGTAAAAGATTTTTAAATGTAGCTCAAGCAGTATCAAATTGTATGGTTTAAGGATAATGCGGTAGATAAACGAGATATATAAATTCACAAATCAGGTCCTAGATTTTCGAAGCTCTTTTAGAGCTAAGATAGTCGTAAGTGCCATACATTAACCTTAACTTACGACTATCTCAGCGCTAAGAGAGCTTCGAAAACCCAGGCCCTGATGTTTAAATATTGGTGAAAGATCCTGGGAATGCACGAACAAAGAATCCCCACACTAGCTTATAACATGCTTGTACATTTAGATGATAGAGGTAAGACAACATGGGCGTCTCATATTAGAAATCTTTTATTTTCTCATTGCTTTGAATTTGTGTGGCTAAATCAAACAGCTGCTTATATTAACATATTTCTTAAGCAATTTCAAGAACAATCTGTTAGCATGTATTATCAAGAATGACATTCCTGTCTAGACAATAGTTCAAGATATCAGTTGTATAGATCATATAAGAGCTTAATTCAACCAGAACTAATCTATCTGTATTGACATCCAAAAATATCAGACGCACATTTGTCAGTAAATAAAGGCAGACGATTTCCAATAGAGATAAGTTTAAGGATATGTCCATTATGTAGCTCGGCTATAAAAGATGAAATACACTTCGCTTTTCTATGCCCACATTAACCTGATTTAAGAAAACAATTTATTCCAAATAATTATCTGTTAAAATATGCTTCAACCGCCTTAGTTTCCATTTTATCCTCCAATAAAGAAAATGTAATACGTAATCTAGCGCTTCATGTAAAACACGACGTTATCCTTAGAATCAATATCTTTTCGGAAATGTAATTTGTTTTGGTTTGTGAAATGTCTGTAACATGTGTTGTATATATACTTGTATCACTCTTTATACGCCTATAATAGTACAATAAATATCTTTCACTTTGACATAGCGCGATCAGTGATTCAATGGTTGCTGCTTGTATTACGGCACCACCTGGTCTATTCTAACCTCATCCTTGAGCTTCTACATTATGTATATACAATATATAGATAATAATAATGCTATTTTTTGCGCCTAGAATTCAACACGATGCTGCTCTGTGGCGTTACATTATTACTCAGACAGAATTGTACTTTCAAACCGCTATTTCTATAGGTCCGTATATCCGCTTCTCAGGTGCCCATTTTGAACAGCTGGGTGGACTGACTGCAATGTGGACGAAGTGCCTTGCCCAGGGACACAACACAGTATGAGACCCAGGTCACAAATTTTGGTGTCTCCGTCGGGATTCGAACCCGGGCCTTTGGCGTGAGAGGCCAGCATGCTAACCACTCCACCACTGTGCTCCACAATATACGTATGTTTAAAAGCGCCAATAAATTTCAACAAACACAAAATGTGAATTCATTTTCAACGAACTTCCTAACTATTTTTCCTAACTAATAGGGTTTAATCGCTTCAAAGTTTCGTATGGCTTTTAAGATATGTTTGTCGTTTTTTCCATATTTGTAAAATGTCTTTCTTGTCGAGATGGGCAAATATAAGTTTACATGTTGAGGGCTTCTGAAAGCACCTCGATACATCTTCCTTCTCTTCCGTATAAAGACCATCACCAAGGTCGTGCAAACCCGTTACGAAACAACGGACCATTCCATATAAAGAAGACGTCATCTATCCAAAGTAACGGCATCGTTAAGGCTACCTTGTAAAGCACTGGGAGTATCTTCCCAGGTATAATGA